AATCCCTCTTTATACTTCTATTGGTCCAATTTTAAGCTGACTCCAGTACATAGGTAGGAGGCAGGGGCTCTCCAGTACAGTAGTACCATAACGTTGGATGCCAACCACCGATAAACCCCACAAAAGAAGAGGAGGCAGGGGCGACAACGCTAGTGTACACAGCTAGAGTGTCCTTCTCCTCTGCCTGTCGGGCACTGTTTTCCTGCAGTTCTGTTAAGGATGGCGAGGGCAGGTGTTCGGCAGGTGGGAGCGAAGGACACTGTGTGCTAGCTTAGCCAGCTAGTCCTAAGGAGGACTCCGGCACACAGCAGGCGTGAGTGACACCGCCTGTTGTGCTAGACAGTGTCCTTGGCCCCAGCCTGTCGGGCACGGTTTTCTCGGGTACACAGCAGGCGGGAGGTGGGGGCAACACTGTGTGCTAGCTAGCTAACTAGCAAGCTAGCACACAGTGTCGCTAACTAGCAAGCTAGCTAGTTAGCACACGGTGTTGCCCCAGCCTCCTGCCTGCTGTGCTAGCGGGAGGCGGGGGCAACCGGTAGACAGTGTCCTTGGCCCCAGCCTGCCGGGCACGGTTTTCTCGGGAACAAAGCAGGCGGGAGGCGGGGGCAACACCGTGTGCTAGGTAGCTAACTAGCAAGCAAGGGGGGAGGGTTCATGAAGGAACCAATGGGATGCTCGAGGGGGCTGCAGGAATGCCCACATGTAGAATTGCCCCGAATTACGTGCTGCAGTTGCACACTATTGCGCAGATACAGTATCTGAATCTGCACGCTGTTGGCTAGAGCGCACGTGCCAATATCCAAGTGGGCACCAGTAGATTTGAAAATGTGATGGAAACCCATTTAACGTGTATGTTTTATTCGGGACATGAGAATTTAACCTCAAAAGTTATTTTTATGTGCTTGTCATCAAGCACAGCCTTTTATCTGAAACAAGTCAATTTGATGGAATAACATCTCTGGTGGGAAAACATTTTTAAACGGATTTTAGAATATTTGCATGAATATCTGTCGCCAATTGGATGGAATCCTAGCTAGTGACTATTTGCACCTGCATTGCTACACTTTGCACTTTGAAGTAAATCTCAGCTCTGTTAAAATACACTCAAGAAACACGATTTTATTATCATATTGATTAACATTAAAACAGAGTAATATGCCCCCCCAATAGTCAGATTAACTGATAACTGACATGTACATGGTGGTGTAGCAGGAAGATCGGAATGCCATGAACCAAGAGATTATGAGTTAAAATCCCAGGTGAGGACATATTGAAAAACATTTACTGTATAAATTAACATGCACAATGTAATTATGTGTGTCAAATATGTAAATTGGCAACATTGTATGTTAAAAGCACTGTGTGTGGGTGTCCTTAACCTTGCCAACAGACAAAAAGCTGTAAATAGATCAGTGGTACACCAATCAGGGCCTTGATGGACTCAGCATCCAGTAACAAGGGGTGGTGTGTAAAGAAACATTTAATTTAATTTAATTTGAGACCATCAGTCGATGTCCTAAAAACGTCTTTAGGGATGTCCACGGAGCAAGCTAGGAACTAGACAAAACATCCAGGGGACCATGACAGAACTTCCAATGTTTTAAACATAATTGGGTCACAGGAATGTTTTTGCAACGTTCCCATGAAACATGTCTAATCTGAGAACATGGCAACCATGTTCTGTGTATGTTTGGTGTAAATTGATGGAATATTCTCCTAATCCTCAGAAAATCGGAAAAATGAATGTTGTTGCAACATCCCATGAAAGTCTAGAACATTAAAGGGATTCTCCAATACTTTTGTATACTTTAAATGCCAGTTGTTCTGAAAGTAGCGCTCACAAGCCAAAAGTGGTCCCCGAAAATTGCACTCTACGTCACATATGTGCAGATATGTGCACCACATCATTGCTCTCGCTCTGCTGTGTGTGCATCATGTGCAACTTGCTAGCTGTCACTCATATGGTGAGGGGCTGAAGCTCATTGGTTGAACTCGAATTGCTAGGGGGATGGGCCACATTAGGGAAAATGTAGGGAAAATGGCACAGCACAGATTCCAACAGTTGCTTTCAAACTAGGGATTTCATGGCTAATTGAGGCAAGACAGTAATTCTGCTCATTACGCATGTATGAACTACACATTGACACATCTAGCCCAAAGCGGGAGGTTTAAAAAGTACTTAGTAGTCGCCAAAGTTCAGGAGCATAATCTCTTATATTCTGAGAACATGGCAACCAGAAAACTGGACACATGAATGGTCTTGCAACAATGTCATAAAACGTGTCTTTAACATTAATATATTATATTCTGAGAACATGGCAACCATGTTCTCTGTATGTTTGGCGTGACATTGATGGAATATTCCCCTAACCCTCAGAAAACTGGACACAGGAATGTTCTTGCAATGTTCCCATGAAACATTTTGGCAATGAGGCCCTTTGTCTATTTCCCCAGAGTCAGATGAACTTGTGGGTACCATTTGTATGTCTCTGTGTACAGTATGAAGGAACTTAGAGGTAGTTTGCAAGCCAATGCTAACTAGTGTTAGCTCAACTAGCATTAGCTCAATGACTGGAAGTCTGTGAGTATCTACTAGCTTTGCAATATTCTCAGAATGTGGTAACCACGTTCTGGGTGAGTTCCGTTTGACATAAACGGAATTGTCTCGTGGAAACAGTCCTTGCACATCACTGGAATATTCCTATGAACACTTTAGGTAAGGGACTGATCGAAATGTACAGAATGGTTACCTAAATGGTTTTTCAATTTCAGTCTAGGGGAGGGTTTAGTATTATTTTTTTAAATCTAGTCCAGGGGAGGGTCATGCAATTTGATATTGATGAAATGTCAATATTTCTCAGTGTTTTAGAATTAGTTGCTTATTAAGCTATATATCGATGTGTGCCGGATGCCGCACCTCAACTCTGATTCTCCGTTCGGCGTGCAATATCAATTTTGCCTGTAAGCTATTTAGTGTGGTCTCAATCAAATGATCCATAGCCTATAGGTTATAGGCTACGAAGTGCATGCTGGGAGAAGCACAGAGCAAAGTTATATTTCTAAGATAGCTGCTGGGATGGTGTAAGTAAAACTATGCTGCATTACACACTGCAATGGATATTCCAACCGTGAGCCTCAGCCTGTTCTGCTCTTGCTGATCAAAAAAAAATGGTGTGCTGCTAAACCAATGGCTGTTCTGTGTAGGGCTACGGTGGCAGTTCAGGAGGAGTCAAAGGTATTTTTCATGCGCATGGACTAGCCTATAGCCTATGTTCTGTTCAGTTTGAGAAGGAGAGTGCGAAGATGAGGAGGACCGGAGATAAACTTTGATGGCTTGCTACTACTGCAATTGAATTGATTAAAAACAATATGTTTCTTGCCCATGATGTATTATTCAGAGTTATTGACCTCACAATAAGCCAGATTCGAGCAATTTACATTGTGGTGCTGAAAGTTGAAGCAGCTGCCGTGGCACAATCAATCGGAAATGGACAGCTCATGGTGCTGAAAGTAGGCAAATTCGAGTAGGAATAATTCCTTTCAACCATCTTCATTTTAATTTGACTTCACTAACAACATGAGGGCTTTGTGTTGAAGCCTATTTCACCCTATTTAAGAAATAAGAGGTAGGCCTACCTGTTTGACAGACGAAATTAGGCTATAGGCTGCCATATCCATTATCAATTCCAGGGCTGTTAAGTTAAAACCAAGACTTGAATTAAGAGGTTATGAGAGGGTATGTCATAGGCCTACCTTTTATTAAGATATCATTGTTAAGTTTCTTTGACATTCAGAGGCTGACTTTGCTTGGGAAGTAATCTAATTATGTCACTATCAATTGATTAAGCTATTCACCTTCTGTACAAAAGAAGATGTTTAAACCTAGACAGCTTTTAGGGAAACACTTGTGACCTTCTCTCACTGGGTTAAGCCACGGAAGAAGAGTTCCCAGCAGTTAAAGCTTACATTTTTATGCATCGGTAGGCCTACTCTGTCTGAGGTGGAAAGGTAGGCATATCTTTTGAACGTACTATGCACAGATTTAATTATTTGCAAACAGGGACAGTTTCCTTGCAAACAAGACACACTGATTTGGCATTGGACAAATATGATAAGATAAGCACATAGGCCTATCTCTCTGTCCATTCTTAGCCTGTAATTTTGGTAATTTGTGTGGTATTAAAAAAATATTCTGCTAATATGTAAAATTACGTAGAATTGCATGAAATCTTTATAAAAGGCTATTTTTTCTCAGGCCTGCAAATACGATGATAGATTCATGCAATGCTTATAAAGGATCTTTCCACCTCTTGTCCACGGTGGTCTGCGAACCCACAACCTGCTCCGCAGCCCTGTGCGCTATCAAAATGAAGGTAATGTTGACAGAACGAAGAACAGTTTCTAAAACTGCATATCTAACTGCATGGTCTGTCCAATAAGTGATGGTAAACGGTAGATATGCTCTCTGCTATCCACTTTGTTTTAATTATTATTTTGTGTATAGGGAAGGGTCACTTGTTTGTTTTTCTATCGTTCAGGGAGGGTTTAGGTAAAATATATTTAGCTGAAGGGAGGGCCATCCATTTTAATTTCAGAGAGGTCCGATTTTCTCCATGTAACCCTTATTATAAATAACGTTCACTCCCTAATTACCTAATATGACTCTCAGGGGAACGTTCTTTAAAGTTGTGGGAACTTTTGTTAGCTGGGTTGATATAATCTTTGGTGTGGTCTTTTGGTAGCAGCTGAACTGGCGTTGGGCGCTTTAATGTTACTTTGCTGCCATCTAGTGCAATATATCAGTACTTTAAGTGTCCCTGTGATGTCGAGAACTGTCACACTCGCAAATGTATTTTGATATTTTGTTTATAGCCCCGTATCAAATGCAACCATTGCTCTATTTCACCCGTTTTATGTTGAGTCATTCACCTCAGTGAAGTGCCAAAGATTTGTATAACTGTGCTTAACTTTTACGTTTGCTTACGTAATCGCCTGTCAGTGGTCGCTTTACGGCAGATCGTGGAGGTCAGAGAAGCATGATGAAGAGGCGAACCAAACAATCTTTTACAAAAAGCTGATAATTTCAATATCTAACTACCTACAGTAAGACAGTGTACAACACTATTGAAACGTAAACCTATTACTGCGTTTTAGATACTAGGAAATATCGCTATAGCTTTTCCCACGAGAACTGTCAAGGTCCTCTTCACGTTTGGTCAGCTAGGCTAACGTTAGCTAGCTAACCCAACCAGCATCTCCAGTTCGAAGCGTTCGCCGGGTGAGTCTCCAGATCGTCCCCCAAACATGGACAATAACGCCTCTGGGTCGGGAGGGAAAGGCGGCTTCGGGAGTCTCTTTGGAGGCAGCGACTACTCCAACACAGAGCTCGCTGGTGTCCCATGTAAGTGCCCCTGCCAATTGATGTTGCTACCTTGGTGGCTAGCATACTAACTCACGTTAACCAGACAAGGCCAACACTGGCTGTCGTTGACATTAGCTGAGGTTGCTGGGGTTTACTTTAAATGTGATTTTAAAAAATTATGTATGCACTAACTGTAAGTCGCTCTGGATAAGAGCGTCTGCTAAGTATCTAAAATTTAAATGTAACTGTTCCATTGTCCTATTTTCTACATAGTGACTGGAATGAGCCCCCTGTCGCCTTATCTCAATGTCGACCCCCCGCTACCTCGTACAGGTAAGAGATGCTAGTTAGTAGAAGTTGACCTCACTCAATGAATGGATATGTAGTATTGATTTGTGACATATCCACTATCAAGTCGACTATGATCACATGTTAACCTGTTTGTGTGTTTTCCAGGACACAGATGAGTTCATCCTGCCTACAGGGGCCAGTAAAACCAGAGGGAGGTTTGAGCTGGCCTTCTTCACAATCGGGGGTTGCTGCATCACAGGTTAGACACTTATACCCTCCCTCAGTTTCTCTGCCTCACCCTCTCATCTCTTCTCTCTATCCACGTAACTCCCCAGCTCCCAGATTAAGTTATGATGCCTGCTGGTTCTGCTTGTATCTGAGTCTCTCCCTCTCTCGCCCCCTCCAACTCTAGGAGCTGCGTTTGGGACAGTGAACGGTCTGAGGATGGGGTTGAAGGAGACCAGAGAAATGGGCTGGACTAAACCTCGCAACGTCCAGTAAGCACCACTGTGTTCCTCCAGTAGTCTGTGGCTTTAGTGTTACCACGTTGGAGACAGGTTTTATTCATGCTAATATAAATGTTACCCCATGAGGTCCAGAGCCTGCTTGTTTTCTTTTCTACCTGATAATTAATTTCACCCACCTGGTGTCCCAGGTCCAAATCATTTCCTGATTAGAGAGGACCAATGTAAAAACACAGTGGAACTGGCTTCAAGGTCCAGAGTTGCGTTTGAGGGTTCTATGGTATGGTGCTCTATATACTGCTGTCTGATTGGCTCACTTATCTGACCTTGCCCTCCTCAGGATTCTCAACATGGTGACCAGACAAGGTGCATCCTGGGCCAACACACTGGGCTCTGTTGGTGAGCACTCACATCTATCCCCTCTTTTCCTCCTCCTAATCTCTTCTTCTTCTTCACCTTGGCTAACCCATGGACCAGGTGTTTGGGTGTTCTGTCCCTAGTATGTCTATATTAACCAAGGGGTGTATGTGTGTTTACAGCGTTGTTGTACAGTATATTTGGCGTGGCCATAGAGAAGGCTAGAGGAGCAGAGGATGACATCAACACTATGGCTGCTGGGACTCTCACGGGCATGCTGTTCAAATCCACAGGTAGGTGTGTGTTGCCTGTCTGTGGCCAGTCTATGGTTGTCTCGTGTGGGACGAGAGTGCAACATATGCAGTACCAGTCAAAAGTTTGGACACCTACTCATTCGAGGATTTTCTTTATTTGTACTATTTTCTACATTGTGGAATAATAGTGAAGACATCAAAACTATGAAATAACGCATATGGAATCATATAGTAACCAAAAAAGTGTTAAACAAATCAAAATATATGTTATATTTGAGATTCTTCAAAGTAGCCACCCTTTGCCTTGATGACAGCTTTGCACACCCTTGGCATTCTCTCAACCAGCTTCGTGAGGTAGTCACCTGGAATGCATTTCAATTAACAGGTGTGCCTTGTTAACCCGAATATGTCAACCTCTGCTAAGCTTCCCAGTAAAGCAAGAAAAATAATCAAGCATTCCAGAAAAGTGTTAAATATCCCAAGTTAACATATGTAGCTTAAGAAACAAGGTTCATGAAATCAATAATTTGCTAGTAACAGATTACATTCATATTCTGACAATCTCTGAAACTCACTTAGATAATACCTTTGATGAAACAGTGGTAGCAATACAAGGTTATAACATTTACAGAAAAGACAGAAATGCCAACTGGGGCGGTATTGCGGTCTATATTCAGAACCACATCCCTGTAAAGCTTAGAGAGGATCTCATGTTAAATACTGTTAAAGTAATATGGCTACAGGTTCACCTGCCTCACCCAAAGCCCTTTCTGGTGGGAAGCTGCTATAGACCACCAAGTGCTAACAGTCCGTATCTGGATAACGTGTGAAATGCTTGATAATATATGTGATATCAATATAGAGGTATACTTTCTGGGTGATTTAAATATTGACTGGCTTTCATCAGGCTGCCCACTCAAGAGAAAGCTTCAAACTGTAACCAGTGCCTGCAACCTGGTTCAGGTTATCAGTCAACCTACCAGGGTAGTTACAAACAGTACAGGAATGAAATCATCAACATGTATTGATCATATATTTACTAATGCTGCAGAGATTAGTTTGAAAGCAGTATCCAAATCCATCAGATGTAGTGATCACAATATAGTAGCCATATCTAGGAAAACCAAAGTTCAAAAGGCTGGGCCTAATATTGTGTATAAGAGATCATACAATACGTTTTGTGGTGTTTCCTATGTTGTTGATGTGAAGAATATTTGTTGGTCCATCGTGTGTAATGACGAGCAACCAGAAGCAGCACTTGACACATTTATGAAATTGCTTTTCCCAGTTACTAATAAGCATTCACCCATTTAAGAAAATGACTGTAAAAACTGTTAAATCTCTGTGGATTGATGAGGAATTGTATGGTTGAGAGGGAAGAGGTAAAAGAGATGGCAAATTTGTCTGGCTGTACAACTGATTGGCAAACGTACTGCAAATTGAGAAATCATGTGACTAAACTGAATAAAAAGAAGAAATTACTCTATGAAACAAAGATAAATGACATAAAAAATGATAGTAAAAAGCTTTGGAGCACCTTAAATGAAATGTTGGGCAAAAAGGCAAACTCCGCTCCGTCATTCATTGAATTAGATGGCTCATTCATCACAAAACCCACTGATATTGCCAACTACTTTAATGATTTTTTCATTGGCAAGATTAGAAAACTTAGGCATGACATGCCAGCAACAAACGCTGACCAAATTATGAAAGACAAGCATTGTAATTTTGAATTACGTAAAGTAAGTGTGGAAGAGGTGAAAAAATTATTATTGTCGATCAACAATGACAAGCCACCGGGGTCTGACAACTTGGATGGAAAATTACTGAGGATAATAGCGGACGATATGGCCACTCCTATTTGCCATATTTTCTATTTAAGCCTACTAGATAGTGTGTGCCCTCAGGCCTGGAGGGAAGCAAAAGTTAGTCCCCTACCTAAGAATAGTAAAGCCCCCTTAACTGGCTCAAATAGCCAACCAATCAGCCTGTTACCAACCCTTAGTAAACTTTTGGAAAAAATTGTGTTTGACAAGATAAAATGCTAATTTACAGTAAACAAATTGACAGCAGACTTTCAGAACGCTTATAGGGAAGGACATTCAACAAGCACAGCACTTACACAAATGACTGATGATTGGCTGAGAGAAATGTATGATAAAAAGATTGGGGGGCTGTTTTGTTAGACTTCAGTGCGGCTTTTGACATTATTGATCATAGTCTGTTGCTGGAAAAACGTATGTGTTATGGTTTTACACCCCCTACTATATTGTGGATAAAGAGTTACCTGTCTAACAGAACACAGATAGTGTTCTTTAATGGAAGCCTCCAACAAAATCCAGGTAGAATCAGGAATTCCCCAGGGCAGCTGTCTAGGCCCCTTACTTTTTTCAATCTTTACTAACGACATGCGACTTTGAGTAAAGCCAGTGTGTCAATGTATGCGGATGACTCAACGCTATACACGGCATCTACCACAGTGACTGAAATGACAGTAACACTTAACAAAGAGCTGCAGTTAGTTTCAGAATGGGTGGCAAGGATTAAGTTAGTCCTAAATATTTCCTAAACTAAAAGCATTGTATTTGGGACAAGTAATTCACTAAACCCTAAACCTCAACTAAATCTTGTAATGAATAATGTGGAAATTGAGCAAGTTGAGGACTAAATTGCTTGGAGTAACCCTGGATTGTAAACTGTCATCGTCAAAACCTATTGATACAACAGTAGCTAGGATGGGGAGAAGTCTGTCTATAATAAAGCGCTGCTCTGCATTCTTAACAGCACTATCAACAAGGCAGGTCCTACAGGCCCTGGTTTTGTCGCACCTGGACTACTGTTCAGTCATGTGGTCAGGTGCCACAAAGAGGGACTTAGGAAAATTGCAATTGGCTCAGAACAGGGCAGTACGGCTGGCCCTTGGATGTGCACAGAGAGGTAACATTAATCATATGCATGTTAATCTCCTGACTCAAAGTGGAGGAGAGATTGTGACTTCATCACTACTAGTATTTGTGAGAGATATTGACATGTTGAATGCACCGAGCTGTCTGTTTGAACTACTGACACACAGCTCGGACACCCATGCATACCCCACAAGACATGCCACCAGAGGTCTCTTCACAATCCCCAAGTCAAGAACAGACTATGGGAGGCACACATTACTACATGGAGCCATGACTACATGGAACTCTATTCCACATCAAGTAACTCATGCCAACAGGAAAATTAGATTAACCTAAAAAAAACAGATTAAAATACACCTTAAGGAACAGCGGGGACTGTGAAGCAACACATAGATAGACACATGCATACAAATACACGATTATATACACATGTACACATGGATTTTGTGTTATAGATATGTGGTAGTAGAGTATAGGCCTGAGGCCACACACTTAATATGTAGTGAAATATTTTATGAATGTTTTTAAAATGTATAACTGCCTTAATTTTGTTGGACCCCAGGAAGAGTAGCTGCTAGGCAGCAGCTAATGGGGATCCATAATAAATACAAATACAAAGTTAATTTGTGGAATTTCTTTCCTTCTTAATGCGTTTGAGCCAATCAGTTGTGTTGTGACAAGGTAGGGGTGGTATTCAGAAGATAGCCCTATTTGGTAAAAGACCAAGTCCATATTATGTCAAGAACAGCTCAAATAAGCAAAGAGAAACGACAGTCCAAACGACAGTCCATCATTTCTTTAAGGTCAGTCAATCTGGAAAATGTCAAGAACTTTGAAAGTTTCTTCAAGTGCAGTCACAAAAACTATCAAGCACTATGATGAAACTTGCTGTCATGAGGACCACCACAGGAATGGAAGACCCAGAGTTACCTCTGCTGCAGAGGATACATTCATTAGAGTTAACTGCACCTCAGATTGCAGCCCAAATAAATGCTTCACAGAGTTCAAGTAACAGACACATCTCAACATCAACTGTTCAGAGGAGACTGAATTGCTACAAAGAAACCACTACTGAAGGACACTAATAAGAAGAAGATACTTGCTTTTGGCAAAGAAACATGAGCAATGGACATTAGACCGGTGGAAATCAGTCCTTTGATCTGATGAGTCCAAATTTGAGATTTTTGGTTCCAACCGCTGTGTCTTTGTGAGACACAGAGTAGGTGAACGGATGATCTCCGCATGTGTAGTTCCCACCGTGAAGCATGGAGGTGTGATGGTGTGGGGGTGCTTTGCTGGTGACACTGTCAGTGATTTATTTAGAATTCAAGGCACACTTAACCAGCTTGGCTACCACAGTATTCTGCAGCGATACGCCATCCCATCTGGTTTGCGCTTAGTGGGACTATCATTTGTTTTTCAACAGGACAATGACCCAAAACACACCTCCAGGTTGTGTAAGGGCTATTTGACCAAGAAGGAGAGTGATGGAGTGCTGCATCAGATGACCTGGCCTCCACAATCAGCCGACCTCAACCCAATTGAGATGGTTTGGAATGAGTCAGACGGCAGAGTGAAGGAAAAGCAGCCAACAAGTGCTCAGCATTTGTGGGAACTCCTTCAAGACTGTTGGAAAAGCATTCTAGGTGAAGCTGGTTGATAAATGCCAAGAGTGTGCAAAGCTGTCATCAAGGCGAAGGGTGGCTATTTGAAGAATATAAAATCTCAAATATATTTAGATTTGTTTAACACTTTTTTGGTTACTACATGATTCCATGTGTGTTATTTCATAGTTTTGATGTCTTCACTATTATTCTATAATGTAGAAAATAGTAAAAATAAAGAAAAACCCTTGAATGAGTAGGTGTCCAAACTTTTGACTGGTACTGTACATGCTGTGTTGTTAGTGCCCTAGAAACCCCATCCGTCTCATTCAAAACTTGTGTCTGTGTGTGTTTCAGGAGGGTTGAAGGGAGTGGCGCGTGGTGGTCTGGTGGGGTTGGCCATGTCTGGTGCCTACGCTCTCTACGGTAATTGGAACCATATCAGAGGTGGTTCTTCTTCTTCAAGTCTCTACTGAACACATCCCTATCTATTACGTTTCATCCAAAATGGCACCCTATTCCCTACTTGGTGCACTACTTTTGGCCAGAGCCTCAGGGAATAGGTTACCAATACTCAAACCCTCCCACAAATATCATCTGTTCACTTCCTGACTTGAGAGGGTTCTGGGATATTGGAGGAATGACTGAGATGTTATTAAACTATGGACTAAATGACCTCCAAGAAACACCCCCTCTCTATACACAACTGCCCTTGCTGCCCCCCAACCCTGTCTCTCTGGGTTACCTCCCCTCTCACCCCCACAGATCTGAAAAGGCCTCCCGCTATATCCAAGGGATGTATGTGTTATTGTATTGGAACTGTTTTTAGAAATGTATCTTTTGTTATATTATTGAATGCTATGTCTAGTAGCCTGGAAGAGGGAAAGAGTCATGTAAATAGTATGTCCATGTTAAGAGTTTATGCTAATTTAATGGATACTGGGGCCCTGTTGTAATACTTTTTACATGCCTCCCTGTGAAGTAATCACTGATCTGACATGACTGGAGTGATGAAAACAATGCAGTGGAAATCGGTTTACATCTATCCAGTCATGTCTGATCAGTGATAACTTCATGGAGGGGAGGGAGGGGTGAAGGATGGATGTATCTGAACACCTCTGCTGGTGTTACTGACTGGGTATTTATGAGTTTGCCCACTTGACTCAAGGCTGTGTTAGCCCCCTGAGGTAAAGCCAAGGGGTTAGTACAGGGAGCAAACACAAGTCTTCTCAGGCAAGGTTACTCATCTAAGCATGGTTAATTGAACCATCTCTGCAACACTGGTCTAAGACCCAATCAGAGAGCTGCTGGAAGCCATAATTGTAGTCTTCTGCTTTCATGTGACGATGTGGGTTGTAGTCCTTCAGATATGGAACCACAAGACTTCTCATGAAACTGAAGAGCAAAGAGACTCATCCCATCACACACCTTACCAAGGCCTTACAATCAATACTGTTGGAATGTATTTATTCATAGTGGGTACTATTTTCCTGTTAAGAGTTGGACTCTATGCTGGCCTGTCTAAATGTTACCTCCAAACAGTACTGGAAGTGTGTATATTATCTCTGTCTCCTTGCCTGTTAAGCCACTGTAAGAACAATACAACAAACATTGAAAACGAGAATATGTTGCCTTGGGTCTTTGTCAGTTGTGCTCGTGATGTTTGTGTGGTGAAAGCCTATTGTTGGGGTTAGGGGTGGGATATGCTATTGTGACTGACTAGGTTTGAACCCAGATTATGTGCACGCCACAAACTCAGCTACACTATCGGTATCGGACAGTAAGCTAAACTAACAACAGTAGTGTCCTACAGTATATTCGAAAGAAGAACTTCACAATGTTCTGCTTTTTCTGCCAACTTTATTGGCGGACAGACTGCATGATGGGAGTAATTTATTAAAAATTAAAAACGGAAATCACATTTACATAAATGCTTCCACACCCAGACACACACACACCCACTTCCTGGTTTCGTGACTATAACTCCCATCATGCAGTCTGTCAGCCAATAACTCCCATCATGCAGGTCAAGGTGTCATAGGTGCCATACAAATTGAAGATATGTTCCTATGTTCCTTTGCATGCACCAATGAAATGGGATAACATGATTCTGAATGTTACATTAAAGGACAAAATGCTCAAGACAAAATTCATAGGTTATAGACATAGAACAACATTGAATCGTTGACGTGAGTGTGAATATGAAACAAATTGTCCTTAACATACACATTAAGTGGATAGAGACTAGAGAAAATTCAGCGACACAAATCATGAATAACAAACAGAACTAAACACAGATGACAGCATCATGACAGATGGCTTGATTTAATGAAATACTGATGATCAGGACATTGGTGCATGTAAAATGTTTTAGTCTTCATTCAAATGTTGTCTGATGTCACTGTAGTGACTCACAGGTCATGGACACGGGGGGGCGGAGCTTGAGGCAATATGGTACGTTTCACAAAAAACGAATGCTATAGTTTTGGGGGTGCAGAGGGGTTGTCAGGTTGTGTGTGTGCGCGTGTGGTCTAGTGCAGAAAGAAGTCTCTGATGCGCGTAGCCTCGATCCAAGGGATGTAATTGGCAGTGCGGGTGAACACACTGGGCTTGTTCTCCACGGTGCAGCCAATGGGACCAAAGCTCACCACACCGTGCACCTCCCACCTGTCATGCCCCAACTGGCACAGAAGAGGACCACCCGAGTCACCCTAAGAGGAGAGGGGGGGAATAAAACATTGTTAGATCACATTACTATGTTAATACTAATGCTGCGTTTATAACATCTCGTACTTTTGTAAATACCAGCATGCAACTGGGAAAAATCCACTTGAATGCCCCTCCAATTGGTAATTTCTAGTGGGGAAATCATCTATGATCTCTGAGCTCCGACTTCTCCCACATGCTGAACTCTGCTATTAACGAAATTACCTCGATAACAGCATTTTCAGCAGTTAAATGCAACAAACCATTATTTATAAAAAACAATCTATTAATGTGTTTTTTAAACACTGATTTGTTTACGAGCATGATAGCTGTACTTTTAGTTTATTGTTGACGCAGCTTGTTTGCCATTAGCCAATCGGTGTTCTCACTACAAGTATGTCATTCTTCCTCCTCCATTTCTCACTCGTCTTTCCCACTCCTCCCTCTGTCCCACCCTTCCTCAGTCTCCTCCTTCCTTCCATCCCTCCCTCTCCCTACCCCTCCCTCCTCTCTCTACCTGGCAGGCAGCAGGTGGTCCTTCTGTGTCTCTGAAGCCGGCACAGATCATGGAGTCCCTGACACGGTCACCCCAAAACTTCTTCTGACGGCAGGTCTTGATGTCGATGATGGGCAGACGGGCCTGGTTCAGAGCCTCAGCCAGAGACACGTTCTCCTTCCCACCTGGCACACAGACAGGGACACACCACAGGATTACCTTTAGGCAACATTCTTGTTTCATGCCTACTGAACACAACCCTGGTCAATGCTCTTTTGTCTACAATCATAGTTCTAACGTGGTCATAGGGGAGAATCTCAATTGCATACTCCTCGCGTCCTCGCTCCTCACCTTTTCAAAACCAATTGGATGAGAAATCCAGAGGTCCCTCCCCTCTGATCGTCTCCTCCAATGGATTTTAAAAAGGAGGTCAAGGAGAGAGGACGTGAGGAGTATGCAATTGAGATTCTCCCAGTGTCTCCATTCAGCCTCCCCTTGCTTACCCTGTGTGCCTCCCCCTCTCCTCCCCCTTTCATCCCCCCTTAACCTGTGTGTCTATCCAGCCTTCCGCACCTTTCTCCCCCTCTCCTCTCCTCCCCGTCCTTATCCCTAGTTTCATCCAACCTCTTCCCCTCTCCTCCCCCTTAATCATCCCTCCTCCTTACCCCGAGTGTCTCCCCAGCCGGTCACCCAGCAGTATTGTCCTGGCTTCAGATTGATCTGTTTGCGCGGCAGGCATGCGTAGCGTATGTGGTTGGTGGGCACGATGTCGGTGGCAGCCTTGACCAGGGCGATATCGTAGTCCAGCTCGCTGTGCGTGGGGTAACGGAAGTGCTCGTGACGGTATATCCTCTTCACCGGGATAGTCTTCTCGGGTGTTTCGGAACGTTTCAGCTGGTGCTTCCCCAGGACAATCCTCCAACTCCCAGCATCCTCGGCTTTACCCCTGAGACACACAGCATGGTGGGTAACTGAGTTCACGCAGGGTTCAGAATGTAACTGTCTGTCATATTACACACAGGTAATCTACTAGTCCTTTATGGTGGTTTCTCAAGGTTTATTGGTTCTTTCTAGTCTAAACCGAGTTATGTTGTAGGGCTAAGACCATGGTCCTTTTGAGACAAGTGTTTCATTTTTAGCTCAGTCCAATAATGTTGTGTGCTACCACTCACGGAATGGCAAGTCTTACTTCTGGAAGCAGTGAGCAGCGGTGAGGACCCAGTTCTTGTGGATGAGAGTTCCTCCACAGACGTGGATGTAGTGCTTACTGCCTCTGGGACGAACCTGAGACACACAGAACACACATTTGCCATCAACCCACAGGCAAGACCTTACACTTAAAGTAACTGTCCAATGTTTTCAGATTTCTATGAAATATGCCTGACATTTAATTGCAATATGAGTGAAATCGTTTTTAAGTATGTTAAAAACCAGCTTTTCTGTGTTGGAATGGTGTGTGCGTACCTCAACAACAATGGTGTGGGCGTATGTATATTAGTGGCGGTCGGTGCCGTTTAAAATGAGGGAGGACACTTTTGTTTTAATGAGAATGGCCTTATTTCTATTACAGCAAATTGGATGGCTATAATTTATATTCCATTCACCCAGCTCAATGTAACATCGATAGGTTTAGGCTACTACATGATACTCACATTTTCCCTATACCCATCATGAGGTTGCTAAAACCTAGTCGATGAATGAAAGTTTACATGGTAGGTGCACAGGTCGAGACAGTGACACATTCAATACCGCATTGCACACTCTTGCCTGCATCTAGCAGATCTAGGGTGTAATCATTAGTCCAACAGTTGCAAACAAGAGTTTTTATAAGACAGATTCAGGTATGTTATCCCCGGTTCATCCTGTTTGCTTCCGTTTAAGAAACATTTTTCAACAGAATCGGTGGAATGAATACACCCCTGATCACCCTCAAGCACAGTTCACTTTCATAGAAGCCACATACAAAAAGCATGATCACTTCACATCTACGCGCTCTCCTCCTCTCACCTTTTCCCTTCGCTTGTGGACTTCAGAGCACAGCACAACACAACAGCGGTCTGTGACTAGGCGAAAAAACCTTTCCAAGCCAAACCTTTATACCATAACCGCTAATCGCTACACACAGCCTACAATCGTTGTCACCATATTAGCTAACGTCATAGTCATCATAGCTAGAACTAACGCATTCGTAAACCCACTACAATCATGCAGTATAGTGTACAGCAAGCAGTTTAGCAGTTACACCGGTGGGCCCCGGTGGCAATAAATTAATACAACCAAAAGCTTACCTTGACTTTGAAGAGTTCCAGTGTTGGATAGCCAGCTAGCTAACATAGCATCCCTCTCTGTATGAGCCGGGTGTTTGAGTAGGCTAAACTAGCTAGCTGCATTCGCTAGCTAAGTAAGTGAAAGGACTACGAAATATAGCTAGCTAGCTCTCTTGCATCTCCTTCATTTTTGAAGAAATTAAGTTGTTCAAAACTGTTCAACTATTGTCTTTCTCTCTCTTTGAGTCAACTACTCACCACATTTTATGCACTGTAATTCTAGAAAGCTGTAGCTTATGCTTTCATTACTAGATTATCTGATCCTTTGATTGGGTGGAGCTCTGATAGGTTGGAGGATGTCATAATTACTGTGTAAGTCTATGGAAGTGGGTTAGAACCATTAGCCTCCTAGGTTTTGTATTGAAGTCAATGTACCCAGAGGAGGACGGAAACTAGCTGTCCTCTGGCTACACCATGGTGTTACCCCAGAGAGTGCTGTTGAGGAGACTGTAGACCTTCATTGCAAAACAGTGTGTTTTAATCAATTATATGGCGACGTGAATATATTTAGTATAGTTTTATCTAAAAAGGATAACTTTTATTTTTATGAAATTCACTGAGGAGGATGGTCCTCCCCTTCCTCCTCTGAGGAGCCTCCACTGGCGTATACCAGTCATTAAAAATCTTAATGCGAGAAGACTGCTGATTGGCCAGCTCAGCCAATGAGCCAACATGACATCATGTTCTATGAGGAAATAGCAAGCATTTTTGAAACGGTCTGTTTGAGATACAAGTTTGAGGTGGGGTTTTTGATGTGTTATTTCTCCAGTTTATGCTTTGGCCACAAATACAAGTGTAAAAGTAGGATGAGTAAACAACATTATTTGGGTACGGGAGTTAACATAATATGAACTTTTAAAAGTTAGATTTTTACTGGACAGTTACTTTAAAGGTCCCGCACAGTCATCCTGATTCCCATGGAAAATAGCCTTTTGAGTTCCCAAAACATCACTCATGTTTTTTTCCAAATAGAAATGCTCAGAATTTGAGAAAATGTTCTTTTTCTCTCATGTCTAACTATTAGGAAGTCTGAAAATACAGGCTGAGTGGGCCGGGAGCCAATAGGCTGAGTGCGTGTGGAGCTCATCTTGACTGACAGTTCTTTGAAACGCCTATGTAAAGCAACATGGACGTGGTGAGCAGCGTTGCAGTGAGATCATCTCAAGCAAATGTGCTGTTAATACACAAAGCAACTGTAGTATCTTTACCATTTTTGACTTTGCTGACGGTTGCAAATAGTGTCTTAGAGGATGTTGACTCAGCTTGAGGAAGCATCTGGAGAGCATTTCTATAGGGGCACCCTAAAACAGAGGAAGTCTGTTATGTGGCGTCCAGGGATTGGTCTGTAGGGGAAAACACCCATATCAGGTTACATAGGATATATATACACTTGGTTGGGACAAAGGAGGGGGAGAACAACATATTAGGATGGGCTGGTTGTTCTCCAGATGTCTGCAGAGGTCTGTAAATTGGCGCTGAAATCTTCAATGTAATAAATAATTATAATCGAGGACAGTGTCAGCGGATTCATTGTCATCACAGCATCTCAGCATTGTTTTCTCAACACTACACAACTCAAACAACATTGAAATTGCATGCAACATCCGATCCTGTCATACATCGCATCATAGTTCCACAAATTATTTGCTTATCCAACTGTTTGGTAATTGTAACAGCATCAATATAGACAAAATGTTGTCTGTATATTTTAGCTAACTAGCCCAAATGGAATTGTCAGCACTGTTTTATTAAGCTATCTAGTTCTTCTTGGACAATTTCAGTTGAAATTGCATAACATATATATAGACTGTCAGACAATGTTAATAAACCATGACTATCAATGATGTCAAGAGTTTTTTTTAATACATAATCCGTTTAGCATGTTTCTTCATGTGTTGACATGACAACTGCATCTGAGTTTTGAGCGACTCTTCACCCCCTTTTGTTCCATGGTCACTGAAGACCTAGCAAGCCACTAACTAGCTAACACCAGACACAGATGAAAGGGGAAACCAATAAGTATTTTTGCCTTAGATGAATAGGGGAAACCTGTAATTATATTTGCTGACACGCTGCAGTCAAATTTTGGCACCAGTAGACTAGCTACCGAGCTATGTAAACCACGCTTCTCTGCAAACACACCTTCTGCGATGTTGATGACAAGGTGGTACTTATTTAAATTAGGTAAGAGAATAACCCTGCGTTCATAACCAAGTGGGAAGGTGGTATTTACCACATACGACTGGGAAAAATCCACTTGAACACCTCTCCAGCTGGTAAATACTAGTGGGAAACTCATCTATCATCTCTGAGCTCCGACTTCTCCCACATGATGACCTCTGACGTCACCTTAGTAGGAAATGACCATGATAACAGCATTTTCGGCAGCTAAATGCAACTACAAAACATAATTTATCAAAAGCAATCAATACGTTTTTTTCTGGAACACTATAATTTATTTACAAGCATGATAGCTGTCCATTTAGTTCATGGTTTACGCAGCTTGTTGGCCATTAGCCAATCTGCGTTTTTCAACGAGTTCATAGCACGTGAATGCATCCAACTGGTATTTACGACGTCAAAACTGGGAATTCCCACCTTCCCACTTCTTTATGAAGGCCGTAACGTAACAAAATGTGGGAAAAGTCAAGGAGTCTGAATACTTTCCGAATGCACTGTATGCTCCCAGAAGTCCCAGTTATTCAGGAAAGCTTAACACATGCTCTGCCTCCTCTCCGATTAATGTGGCTATTCCACGTTCACCTAGAACCTAACGCTTCAATATAGCCTACATTTTTATCATTTAACTTTTAAAATGTATTACCTTTTATGAGTGGCATAAATGCAACCAGTCACAACGTTTTAATCCTGCAGGCTACCTGTGCACATTAGTCCAAAATATAATTCCAGCATCCAAACTGTGCAGCGGCCATTTGATGAATGGAAAGAGACATCTGTTAAACACCAAAACGTTTAATGACATTCAGAGATTGCCAAGCCTTCGATACTGGATAGGCAGGCCTACATGGTTTGTCGAGATTGAGATAGTTTATTTGATTGTGGCGTTGAAAACGCAAACCATGATGTTGAAGCGCCCGAAGTCGGTACAGAAAGCTGTTGGTGGAAAATCTGTTGCACATATTTTATATAATTATAAATATAGCATCAAAATGTTGAAAATAAGATTTCCCCCTAGCTGATCATTGTCTGCAGACATTTCTGAGCGTAGTGTAATGAAACAGGCAGCGAGAGTGAGCTTGTTCGTGGTGGTTGGCGAACTCTCAACCTTCTGGCCAATAGCCCTGCGTGGCATCGACTGTGCCATAAAAGCATGCTGAAATGGCAAAGTCGATATCCACATTATTTTGAGTTAATTCTATGAGGGGGGAGGGGTGTGCAATTTTTTTTTTTTTACAGTACAAAAATATTTTTTATTGTTGGGGAGATGGGTGTTTTTTTTTATGACACCTCCAGTTGGAGCACCCTACTGAGCCCTTCTCCTGAACCCAAGTGTTTGACACGGGGGAGGGGGCCAATAACTTTATTATCAAACTTGATCAATGCACAAGCAACAGTAATCTTTCATACTTTGGTCATCCTAATTTGATCTGGTTTCATCCAAATATCATAACATTTGATGGAAAACATGATTTTGACTGAGCGGGACCTTCAAATCAAATTTTCACTGAGTCCCCCATTGGCATCAATGCATGACTAAGTGAAAATTCGACATACTGAAGTTGCCAAGTAGATAAGTATGTTAATTGATTGATTGGTTTATTGATTACCTGTAGGGAGACCTGCCATGGCCAGGAGTGAGGTCTGGCCTCGTTTCCAGAGACGATCCGTTCAGCCATGTTAGGTTTATAGTGGGCCATGCCACAGTCCTTAGGCCAGTCTATAGGAAAGGAAAATACACAGGAACTGTCAGTACAGTCAGACAAATACTGATCCTAGATCAGCCATGCCACAGTCTGTGAGTCAGTTTAAGAATCATCACAGTCAGTTACAAAGATCAAAGATCAGGTCAGAACAATTAGAATGATAAAACATTTTTTTTCAAACTTCATTTTAGTTATTGGGTCAAGTGGGAATGGTTGAGATCAGACAGATTAAATGTGATGGAGAGGCAAAGGGGTGGGGAAACAAGTAGATTGAAAAATATATATATATATTTTTTAGGGGATAACACACTATCACATATCACAGGGTTCTTCAATTCCGGCTCTGGAGGGCCGAAACACTTCTGTTTTTTATTTCTACCTGGTAGTTAATTGCACTCACCTGGTGTCCCAGGTCTGAATTAGCCCCTGATTAGAAGGAGAGGATGAAAAACAGAGGTGTTTCGGCCATCCAGGACCGGAATTGAAGAACCCTGACATATCATAACCCTTTTAAAATAATGACCTGCACTCCAGATCGCCAAATCAGACAATAGATGGTATGGGCACACTTGTCTAGAACACATCCATCCGTCTATATCGTCATAACAAATTATATATTTTATGACATTGCGCCGTCAGATTAATAGCCTTTCTTCCTTCAACTATCATGCCGCAAGGAGGTTTACTCCTCTCCTCTCCCTGCTAGCAGACTCGCAGAGCAGTTGCACATTGCCATAGCAACCACATTGACTCAACATTTTGAGCTAGAAACGGGATCAACATTGTGAGATTCTAACTACAACTAATTAACAACTTCACATGCTGATATTGACTTTGGTATTAGTGTGTGTAGGTAGCTACGTTTTCTAGCTAGCTAGATAGTCAGCCAGCCTGTCCATAGAGAGAGCATTGCATTGTGGGTTTTGCAGTCGACCTAAACTCCAACAAATTACCATAACAATTTTCACATGTTGCTTCCTACCTTTTCATAACCACCAAATGCAAAAATAAATCACAACATACACTACCATTCAAAAGTTTGGGGTCACTTAGAAATGTCCATGTTTTCGAAAGAAAAGCATTTTTTTTGTCCATTAAAATAACATCAAATTGATCAGAAATACAGTGTAGACATTGTTAATGTTGTAAATGGCTATTGTAGCTGGAAATGGCTGATTTTTAATGGAATATCTACATAGGCGTACAGAGGCCCATTATCAGCAACCATCAGTCCTGTGTTCCAATGGCACATTGCGTTTGCTAATCCAAGTGTATCATTTTAAAAGGCTAATTGATCATTAGAAAACCCTTTTGCAATTATGTTAGCACAGCTGAAAACTGTTGTGCTGATTAAAGAAGCAATACAACTGGCATTCTTGAGACTAGTTGAGTATCTGGAGCATCAGCAATTGTGGGTTCGATTACAGGCTTAAAATGGCCAGAAACAAAGAACTTTCTTCTGAAACTCTGCAGTCTATTCTTGTTCTGAGAAATGAAGGCTATTCCATGTGAGAAATTGCCAACAAACTAAAGATCTCATACAACGCTGGGTACTACTCCCTTCACAGAACAACGTAAACTGGCTCTAACCAGAATAGAAAGAGGAGTGGGAGGCCCCAGTGCACAACTGAGCAAGAGGACAAATACATTAGAGTGTCTAGTTTGAGAAACAGACGCCTCACAGGTCCTCAACTGGCAGCTTCATTAAATAGTACCCGCAAAACACCAGTCTCAACATCAACAGTGAAGAGGCGACTCCGGGATGCTGACCTTCTAGGCAGAGTTGCAAAGAAAAAGCCATATCTCAGACTGGCCAATAAAAAGAAAAGATTAAGATGGTGCTTTGGTGGTGGTAAAGTGGGAGATTTGTACATGGTAAAAGGGATCTTGAAGAAGGAAGGCTATCACTCCATTTTGCAACGCCATGCCATACCCTGTGGAAGGCGCTTGATTGGAGCCAATTTCCTCCTACAACAGGACAATGACCCAAAGCACAGCTCCAAACTATGCAATAACTATTTAGGGAAGAAGCAGTCAGCTGGTATTCTGTCTATAATGGAGTGGCCAGCACAGTCACCGGATCTCAACCCTATTGAGCTGTTGTGGGAGCAGCTTGACCGTATGGTACGTAAGAAGTGCCCATCAAGCCAATCCAACTTGTGGGAGGTGCTTCAGGAAGCATGGGGTGAAATCTCTTCAGATTACCTCAACAAATTGACAACTAGAATGCCAAAGGTCTGCAAGGCTGTAATTGCTGCAAATGGAGGATTCTTTGACGAAAGCAAAGTTTGAAGGACACAATTATTTTTAACCTTGTCAATGACTACATTTCCTATGCATTTTGCTATATTTCCTATTCATTTCTTGTATGTTTTCATGGAAAACAAGGACATTTCTAAGTGACCCCAAACTTTTAAACAGTAGTGTATATTGTATTTGACAATGTAAATCATAGGAATTTGTGGTTTTGAGTGGATTATTCCTTTTAGATGAGTGTGTGTATCCATGTGCAGGTGCCCATGTGTATCAGTGGAGGCTGGTGTGAGGAGCTATAGGAGGATGGGCTCATTGTAATGGATGGAATGGAATAAATGGAACAGTATCAAACATATGGAAACCACGATTGACTCCATTCCATTAATTCCATTCCAACCATTACAATGAGCCCATCCTCATATAGCTCCTCCCACCAGCCTCCACTGATGTGTATGTGTGTATCTGGCTCACCCAGGTGCAGGACTTTGTGCTGGGCCTGTCTGCCAGGGGTCAGGGTGTATGTGGCGGCAGGCAGTGCCGACACACACAGCAGCAGCATCAGAGATAGGAGCGGAGGCCCTGGAACATCAACCATCTTCAGCAGAATCACTGCCTCGCGCACACAGCACACTATTTATATAGCACTGGACAAACACACACACACACACTCACATACAGGCATCCAATCGGATGCACATACTCAGGCATATACAAACACGCACACTCATTCACAAACTAATATACGCGCATGTACGTACGTATGCACACACACACGCACGCATGCACACACACACGCACATACATACATACACACACACACACACACACACACACACACATTTCCCCCAGGGACAAAGAAGACTACAAAGCCCCAGCGCTGGATTGTTCTCCTGCAGCCAGGGGCTTTACAGCGATGGATAGGGGTTTCTGGGAGGCCTATCAGCACTTTCAACACACACACATTCCCACACACACACACACATTCATACATGCGCATGCATGAACACGTATTACAGGCACAACACACTCCCTTGGCCGTAATCATAGGACAAACATGTAGGACAAAAACAGCCTCTCTACTGTACTCGCTACTCACCCCATGATGCACGTCACCCCAACAGCCCACCTCCTGATTCTGTGTCACGTGACCCGGTGAACCGGTGACCTGTACCCCCCAAACCCCACCCCCATACACACACACAATTGATCAAATCATCACTCTACCCATTCATGCCTACTAACTATTACACCCCATTACCTGTAAATAACTTCCCTCACCAGGCTTACTTCTACTTATCTAAACATCTACCTAACGCTAAATCTTCTCCAGTTAACATCTATAATTTATCCAATCCAATCCAACTTTATTGTCCCTCAAGGGGAAATTCATTAAATAAAATGAATCCAAACCTCCCTTGGGCTGTGGATGGATGAAGTGATCCCATACAGTATAAGTATGGCTTGCACCTAGGCCCACTTTGACCACCCAGGGGGCATGATAAAGAAAGAGAAAGAAAGTGAGAGCTTTGTTACTCTACATAACACATACAACTACCGTGTTCGTTCGTTAACAGTGAGATATGACAACAGTAGAAGCAGCTAGCGAGGTGAGGTTTCAGGCCTTTCCTACAGTGAATGACAGGGAATGTGCCTGCTCATCTGAACAGTAGCAGAATACAGGGCCTGAATGAACTGAACATACAGAGACTTACTCACACCACCATGGTTCACCTCATTTACAAACACTCTGTGTATGTGAGTGTCTGTGTGTTTATTTTGAGTGAGTGAGTGAGTGCCTAAGTACATGCATGTGTATATAGTGCAAAGTACAAAGAATACATATGAAAGTAACAACAGTGAATGTTTGGACAGAATATTTTAATACATTACATTGTTTTTTCCATTGGAGATTCTTTACAATAATCCATGGCATCCACACATTCACATATCCATGCTTAGTGTAATGCAGTGCAGGCAGGCAGTAACACAAATTGACATTAAGGGCTGTTTTTTTCTGGGATGATGGACCTATATGTTATTGCAAACCTGAACCGGAGTAGTATCCTTTTTAACCCAACATATTTTTCACCTACTGGCAGATACATTTGAATACTATCGTACATAAATTGTATATAAAGTAGTCAAAAACTACAACACAGCAGTAGGGAGTCCAGTGTTAGGGAGGTCCTTTAGGGTTATTCAGATGCCTCTTTTGCCCTTTAGACTGAACCCTGCCAACCTCCTGTGTTAGTCGCATACAGTCATTGGTTAGTCTTATAATGTTATCATGTCCACCTTCTCAGTGTTCTTCCAGTGTCATTCATTGGGGTTTGAGGAGCGAACGCATCGCTTCAGTGACCTCATCACTCCTCCACTCTTCTTCCTGCTCCGCCCACTCTCACGGTATGACGACTTACGAGACAGCACCGGTGTCCCCTTTTCCTCTGTCTCTTCCCCACTCTGTCCTCCCTCCTCCTGTCCTCCTCCCTTTACATTTCCCTTTCCATCTACTCCTCCCTCGCCATCTCCCTCTATCTTTCCTTCTTCCTCCCTCTCTACCTTTACCTCTCCCTCTGGTTCTCTCTGTATATTTCCTTCTCCCTCTACCTCTCCTTCCTTTCTATCTCCATCTCCTTCTCCCTCTTTTTCTCCCTCTCTGTCTCCCTCTCTCTCTCCCTCTCCTTTAGTGTCAGCCTCAGTCTCTATGGCAGCAGTCGCCACGGTATTAATCGATAGGGGTGTGCTAAGGTTTGCCA